GAAAGACACAGACGTCAGCTGTCTACAACAACCTGTGCGGTGCACTTAGAACAGATAGCATGACATTATGTTTTTGTTTATCCCACTTTGGTGTGATTGAATATGACACATCTTTGGTTGTTATGTTTTCAAGCCATGTGTTGTTGTTGTTGTTGTTGGTGGTGGTGGTCGCGGCAGCCGCAACTCAAGGTGTTTACACACCAATTTGTTTTCACAAGACGACGCAGTGAGTGAAAATGTCAATGGCAAAAAAACAAACAAACAAAAAAAAAACGCACAGCTGTCCATCAACAAGCGCCTGTGTGATTAATGCTTTATTATCGGCATGGCAGCTGTGAACAGCAAATTAAACTTAATATGCTGTCAGTGATCTTATTACTCAGGAGGAATATGTCAGAGATGCATATGAGGAAGAAGGCATTAAACAACGATGAAGTTTATTACTGGGAGAGGAGGTGAAGGTTGACATGTGCTTGGTTTTATGCTTCTTCATCAAATGTAAACTGAGCTTCAGCAAAGTCATAAAGTCATCATGGTAATAACAAACAAACCACAACTAACTAACTAATCAAACATTTATAGTTCTGGCAGAAAACGTAAGTCAATTTGATGTCACTCAACCACACTGAGTTGTAACTGCTTTGTCTGAGCTGTGGTTTTTGGTCTGTTCATTAAAAACAAGTGTCCCACGGTCATCAAGTGTAGACTTTACTAAATTCAACAAACAAATGCTACCTTCTCCACGACGTTTACTCATAAAGACTGCTGGCCTTATGAATAAAAGGGATGCAGCTGTTTGAGTCAGACATGATATTTAACAGCATGGCCCCATCCCTACACACTGCTCCCCTGCCCACTGTTCACTTTGGTGATGGGTTAAAAGCAGAGGTCACATTTCGTCGTGGTGTGCTGTGTCACAATGACAAGTAGTTCACTTACACTATATTGGATTATTGATTAAAATAGAGTAAAAGTCTTTATCAAGATAAACCAATTCAAATAAATAGCATCCTTACTTTGTGTAGTGTAGTTTCTCTCGATACAGTATATGATCAAAATGTATCTTTAATGTACATAGTACTGAAAGCGACATGAGTGATGAGGAAAAAAGTGTCTCAACATAAGAAGACTTAATATTTCTGTTAAAGTTAAGCTGCTGAGACCGTAGTTAAAAAACCCCCATCTGAATTCAAAATGTACTGAGTGCTGTGTTAATTGCCCCACCACTTTTCCTAAAAGATTCTTAATAGCACAATTTGATGCAGACACGTAGAAAACCTCCGAGTGTGTGTTTGTGGCAGTGACGTGAGCGCGTTGTTCCGAGTGATCAGTGCAGTGAAAGCTGATTTGCATCACAGGAAGATGGACCTTGATTGCAGTGTACTGTTGTGAGCTCGGGGGCTGCTTGTGCGTCATGTGTTTTCCAACTGTCGCACTAGCACATGTGTAAATTTCTGTTGAGAAATTAAAGGTTGGGGACGGGGGGCTTAGGTTGCTCAGTATTTATGTTCCGTCCCTCTCGACCCGACTGTGCCTGATCAATATGTGTCAAAGAAGTTCTTCTTTTCACTCATCACATTTACACTGTGCAGGTCTGCATTTTCACTGCAGAGTGGAAATGAAATTAAACATTTAAAATGTTTATGTTACTTTTTGGCAGCTTTCTCAAAGTTATAGTTTGGGATTTTTTTTTCTACATATAATACATGTACTGACTGTGCAGAAGTGTCAGAGGACAGATAGGTGCCAGCTCAGCAAAAGCATAGCTAAAGTAGCTATTTTAAAAATATTATCCCTACCTTGTGGTCGTTAGACATCCATCGACAACCAGTAAGTGAAGTGTTATTTAAATCGGTGACTCAAGTCTGCAAAACTAGATAAAATTGCTGTTTTGGCATAAAGGATTCTGTACTTGCTGATGTCCTCCTGCCTTGAATGTTGTATCACTTTGGAAATTAAAATGAGGACATCAGGTCTCTGAGGGAAGCAACTGTACATCAGAGTCTTTTCATTGTGTTTTTGGAATATTTTAAAAAGCTCAAGGTTATTTCACTTTTTATATAATTAAAAAAGGCCAGTTCAAATGTACATTGACTTTTTAGGAAGGAAACTTTGTGTATGTTTTGAATTTAGGACATCAACAAAGGTGTTGCACAAAACCAGCCTTGTTATCTTTTCAACCTCACTTTTCTCAAAGGTGACTGACCATGACTGAGCCTTTTTGCAGGCACAAATGTTTTCAAATATTGAAGACATTTTCCTACCTGTTGGCAATAAAACAGAACTCAAAGGACCAAAAAAGAAAAACACAGACACTAATGCTCCCTGTAAACCTGATTTGGATTCAACTAACCTTTACAGCTGTCTGCACACCAGGGTTATTAATACCTGCATGGAGCAGAGATGTCGTTAGCTCTGCACACGTGTCGCCTGGTGAGGAGAGACACAATGAACACCAGCTTTTGAATGACACTTTCCTTTCAAGGAGTTAATAAATCACTGATCTCTTATAACAAACGAAAACACACAGTGATGTTATGATATGGTTCTGATCTAGAGCTCACCACCCACCAGGACATCCGGATGTTCTCCGGTGTTTTCAGCATCATCTGTCACTGTGGCAGCTAATGTTCCTTACAAGTATTTGCACATGAAAATCAACAGCTACATCCCCCTTTCTTTATAAATGAAACTTGCTCTTCTTTTGAAGCTGCTTCCTTCTTGGGTCGTTGCGGCGGTTTTCCGCCTGTGCCCAGATTTCTTTAAATTAATCTGCAAGTACTGGTTTATCAAAGTTGAAGGTTTTATCGAACACCTGGGTTGTAACTGTGAGCAACAGCAAATTATTATATTTGAGTGAGGAGGATTTTGTAAAAGAACCAGATTTTTTCTTTCTATTGATTTGGGGGAGTTTTCTTTTTTTTCTAAAGGAATTGAAGCAGAAACGGAAAGAAGGTAAAAAGTTGCTGTAGACAGTGATTGGATTTCTAGAAAGTTTTTAGAAAAATGTGATAAGAGTGTGCCATATTTCTCATTTACCAAGAAACTGGAGGTGTCACGTTGCAGGATATGTTTTTTTGTCAGAGCAGAATGCCATCAAATGGAAAGAGCAGGAGAATGTATCAGTGTTGTACTATTGTTGTAGATGACAGAGGAGGACATCCGAGGTCTGGGACAGTGAGGCTGAAGGAGACATAAGAGAGAAAGATTTATAATAAATATGTTACATTTCTCCATTACAATAGGTAATTAAAATGAAGTAAAACAGTATATACATATGTTTAAGTTTGAGACTCAGAGATGAATTTCACCTCGCCTGTGGGGTGGGGTGGGGGGTGTGGGGGGTTATAACCCAGTTGTCAAACCCTTTGATATGAGTTTTATGATATGTAAATCTGTATTACCTTGGTGTGGGGCAGTAGTTCCCCCTTGGGGACAGAAATGCCCCCCCCCCCCCCCGATCCACACCCCTGCGAAATGAAATACTATTGAGAACCTGATAACATGTATTTTTTTTATTTGTATAAACCACTGTATGATTTGCTGCCACCTAGTGTTACAGCAGTGGCACACTTATGGCCAGCGTGCTATATTCCATATTCCTCATGCCCCCCCGTGGCACCTCACCACGCCCGACACCCTATTTGAGAAGTACTGGTGTAGTGTTTACCAAGGAGTCAATACCCACTATCCTGTGGCGCCGTACACCTCCAACAACAGTGGCATTGTAGCACAGCACAGGTTTTATAAGCTTCCAGCCACAGGTTTGTCCTCACCGCACATTAAAGTCATTAGGTTCAATGGCTCCAGGAGAGTTTTGCGGTCTCTCTTGTGGCTGCTTCGTGTTAATATTACAGGAACATAATGTGAAATTCAAATGATTTGTTGTCTGCAGCCTCCTCCAGTTGTCCTTCTTCTCCACGAGCTATCTGAATATGAAGGAGTGTGGAGCATTCTCCCTGCCCTTCCTCAGTGAGTGTCTAACATCCGTACTGCACACAGATTATTTAAAGCCGCCACGATGACTCCTGTGAGGGTAAAATCAGCACATTATGACGATTTGTGTCTTTTTAGCCTCTCTCTAACCAATGGACCGTCAGCCATGTGGTTCTTCTTCATAGAGGAAGAAACCAGAGTTACAGTGGCTGCCCTGGGGCAGGTACTGCAGCGGTACCAGGCACATGAGGTGAGGCACACGCGCACACACATCTTGTAATTTCGATTCTTAATTAAACTAATATGATATCAAGTGAGAACATGCTGGACACAGAAGAAACAGAAGATCATTTTTAGAACTATTGTGGACATAAAGTTTTCTTTTCTTTAAATTCCCAGACCTTCTCTTGACCTGAGATATCTTAAAGGCACTTCAAGGCTGGGAAACTTAATAATTTATAAACTTTAGACTACTGAATGTTTTACAGCAACAGAAACTTTATTTTTCTCCTTTTCTTATGTTGTTCATGACCTCGCAGGAATGGTTTTTGGGCAGGCGTCTCTGTGACGTGGAGGCCTCCATCATTCACCATTACGCCTTCTCTGAGGACCCCTCCTCTTTTGGTTACCCTGACCCCGCGGCGGGCTGGGCTCTTAGCGCTCCTCTCCTCCGCAGGTGAGCGAGCATGCTTGTACAACATGTACAGCAGAGAAGAGATCTTAGGATTTGTGAATGAAAAGTAAATTTTCTTTTCACTTTTCTGAGGTCTTTATGTCTTTACTCTATACTTCAATTTGTTCCCGCATTTTTTGTCTCTCAGACTTGCAGACCGTATGTTACATGAGCATCTGAAGTCGGACTTTACCATCGACTTGAGTCATGAGGTCTGTTTTGTTTTCTCTGCTTACTGCCTGTTTCCTGTGCTGCGTTGGTGTGTGTTTGACAGTGTCATTTATAAATACATATATATATATATATATATATATAATATATATATATATATATATTTATAATGACTGTTACATGTTACATGAAAATCTAAGAGGTTTTGATCTTGTTCTCATATCAATCCACAGAGATAATAAACATATCTGGTGTTTCAATGATTACTAAAAGTTGCCATATTTTCTTATGATTATAAAACAGGGAGATTATAGATATTCAATTTCAATTTCATCAAATATACAAAGATGTTTTTCACTTTTCTAGTGGCAGGAAAGGAAATGATAGAGTGTAATGACTTTCCATGGGGAAAATGTAATGCTCGACTGATCCACCGCTTTCATCTGAAGAGGCAACTGCAGGACTCACTCTCTTCCTTCATCTCCTTCACAGATTGCTTTATATATCCTCGAGGAAGGGAATGGACCAAAGCTGACAGCAGTCCGGGAATTTTGTATCGAGTCAGAGGAAAACTGTGCTTCTACGTTCACATCCTACCTGCCTGACTGTGTAAGATGAGGAGACCGGCTCTTGACTTCTTGAATAATTAAAACACTTTTAATATCAGTGATTTAATATCGGTGGCCAAACAATTCAATTTGAATCAGTAGGACACATTTATTATTCCATTTTGATGAATGCCATTTGCTCAGCTGTTGAACACAGAGTTGGACTTGAGTACTTGTTTTTCATCACCTTTATGACACTGACCCCGGGTCAGACCAGTACGTATGACAAAGATGGGCGTTCAAGATAACACTGAGTCACAGTGATTTGGGTGGAGAGTCTCATGCACATCCATCTGTACACAGTCGGTGAGGAACTGCATGACTGATGGAAGCCAGTGTTCCTGTTTTTGCTACTCTGACTCAATATTAGACCATTACATGCCTCACACGCTGCACCCTCACACTGTAGCTGTGTTCACAATCCTGGTTTTTTTGGTGTTTTTTTCAATTTTTTTCAAGGATACTGATGCAGTTTTTCTTTCCACTCTTTCAGGGGGAGCCAGTTTCGAGGAGAGACTTATTTGTTGCCGTAAAAACATGGCATAAATTCCACTCGGACCGAGGTCAGTGTAGATGATGATTCTGTTAATTAAAGATTCAAATGTGTCCTTAAGGGGAGAAAGAAGGACTGAGGTCATTAACTTTAATTGCCTGTGCATGAACCTAACACCCACCAATTGTTATCACCAAGCACAGAGCAAATGTATTGCAATATTTTATGCATAGAATTATAAATGTGTTCATAGCAATGTATAAATCATCTTTCGGATTATTTAATGTAAGGAGAAAGCAGTTAATTATGGGAAATATTTTAGTCTCCCGTTTGTTCTGGTAAAATACAGGATTTCTTTCAAACTTCGTGTCAATTGATGCAAATTCAAGCAGTCTCTTATTTTTTAAATTACAGAAATAATTAATAATAATCATGTTTTAGGTGGAAAATTACTTCATTTTTCACAGTTTTAAATAAATGAAAAGTACAGAGTAAGAACATTGTGTCATTAACTTTGTTAAGAATTGATTGTTTTTTCCTCCTTCGTGTCAGGTTAAAGATAACAAATTGTCATATTCCGCTCTGTTCCGCGAATCATGTTTTTTAAAACACAAATTAACGTAATATCGGCCCTGACTCACCAGGGAACAACAGTGATTAGGTGCGATGATGATTGACACATTTGGATTTTTATGCAGGTATCAAGGTGAGTGAGTGTACAGTTACTCATCATGGTAATTGCTATAACCTTTCAGACAGAATCAGGGGACAGCTGTTGTCTTTTCATTACAGACAGGAAAAAGTTCATGTTTTTTTTTCTCCATAGTGTCAGTGGTAAAGGCGACCTGGGAGAAGGAGGCTGAGTTTTTAGAATATTACAGCGATGTGGCTGATGATTCCATTCCCACAATCAGTCTTGGAATACCAAACACTGAGAGAGGTGAGCTTTTCATAAAACACAGAACAACTCTACATTACTGCACCACACTGTTTCATGGAAATCAATTAATCTTGATTAATTTGTTATAGTGATTAATCACAATTCAAAGAGAATTCAAATATTTCTTAATATGACAAATATTAAATCATGATTAATAAATCACGATTCATTTGTGATTGCAATTAATCCTGATGAATCATAATTGTAGGAGATAAATACATTTTCCTCATTATGACTGGTAAAATAAATTTGTGAGACAAAAACAACATTTTAGCATTAAAAACACAGTTGGTCGTTTTGTGTTAACATGCTAAAGCTAGCACTCATCATTAAAAAAGACCACAGTACTAATACTAATACTCTCACTCCGACCTCCTCTCTAATACAAAATACAAGGCAGACGGAAGATTCACTTTACTGTCAAATCCACACCTGTAATCAGAAGACCAATGAGTACGACCGAGCTGTGGGGAAATTACAAAAGTTGTGGAGAGCATCTGTTGATGGCATTTGAAGTGTCTCGTAATAGGCTTCGTAGACAAGAAACAATTACTTCAAAGACAGAGGTTACAGCCACAACAATCAAATCATGGACCGACCCTGGTGAAGATTACCTCTGTGCCGCTGCTCTGTCAGACAGATGTCTGCAACAACTGCTCTGTAGTTTCAGGTAGTAAAAGGAGGAGTTAGCAGCAGATCCTGTAAGCTGACTTCAATAAAACAAACGCTAGGTTGGCTTAGCATCTGAGTTTTTTAACGCCTACGTTGAAAAATCCATCTTAAAAAAACATATTTTTTTCGTACCCGTGAGGTTAACCTGCCCTGCATTCTCTCTTTTTTTCTGGTGCTTTAAACCTTTTTCTTTTCTGAAATGGATTCAGATGAAACCATTCCTGGCAGCCATTTACACAGACCTACAATTCTGACCCATGTCTATGTCTAATAATTTTTTTTTAATTGCTTCATAAAGTATTCCACTCCTCCGCAGGTGTGCTAAACCTCAGTGGGTTTTATGTTGTGACTCCTGCCTGTACATCTGGATCAGGAGCACTTCTGTCTTAGAGCAGCGCTGATAACAGCAGGTTTCCATCCTGCATCACTTCCTCTCATGTACTTTCCCACAGCAGGGGATCAGTTACAGTCTCAACGACACCTCCATCTCCTGGTCAAGTCATGCTTTTCTTTTCATTTTTAACTTGCTGCATTTACCTTATGTTTGGGACACACGCAGAGGAAATGCCTCAGTTCCCTTTTAGTCTATTTTTTATTATAGTCTAACGTTCTACGCCTACACCTGAAAGATCTCAGCAGGAGACATTGTCTGTGACATTACTTTTCTCCCACATGCAATTTGATCCCTTTTCTGCCAAAATAAGGCACAGGTTGTATTTGTGTAGTGTGTTGAAATCTTCTGTGCTTACTTTTATACAGTACATGTATGTAATGTTTGTAAAACGCACAGGGTTAAAAGTTTCTTCTCTTTTTACATTTGTGATCATTTTTTAATCTCGGTGACTTATCTTTATATAATTTTATTTTTTTGCCTTGTTTTGTGTTACTGCAGGGCACTGTGGTAAGACATTTGCCATTTTGAGACGGTTCCTAAGCGATGCAGTTCCGAAAACCGATTGGCTCCTCATCGTTGATGATGATACACTTATCAGGTAACGGACCAGGTTTTCTATTTCACCACATGAGGTTTGAAAATGTTTTGTTCATTTACAGCACAAACAAAATTTAACAATGGAAATACTTCTTTATCTCATGCCGTTTTCTTAATTGTTTAACATGTTTTTATTGTAACAATTGTTCGGTGTGGAGATCTTTGACTTGAAACACTGAAGGTGAGTTAACTGCATGCAGTCAGCAAAATGTGTAAATATATATCAAAAAGAGCTTTAACTTTGTCTCTTAGAATGTTGTAAATCAAGGATGCAACATGACTATCACACAAGTTAACATTTTCTAATCAGTGTTCTGAGGCTTTTTTTCTGTCAAATGACTTAATTTTATTCACCTCTTGGCTGCCAGGGATAAAGATGGTCCACCAGGTCCACTTTTTAGGCACTTTTTAGTCTTAATAACACCTGAATACAGTACTTTTGTCGTTCACTTTCATGCAGAACATTTACTTCTAGTGATGTTCCTATCACATATTCCTGATTCCCATTAACACACTGTCAGCACAGCTGGCGGAAACAACCTGGGGTCGGGTGTCCTGCCCGTTACCATATTTGCATATGGACGAGCAAATCCGCTGATCCGAAGCCACCGTCAGTCTGTAAAACAAGAGAATACACGCCTCCGTAGAGTTCGCCTGCAATCTGGCAAAACAGGTGTCAAGCCAGAGAAATGTTTTAAAATACTTGACATCAAACACGGTGTGGTGTGATTTAAAGTAGTCTGCGCGGCCCTTTCTGTTAAACCCACTCCTTGTCTTTGTTTTAGTCTATGAATGTTTTATGTTTCATCTACAGTTTACCTCGGTTACGAAGGCTGCTGCGATGCTATGACCCAAAAGAAGAAGTGAGTCTCGGGGAGAGATATGGCTATGGCTTGGTGCAGAATGGATACAGCTACATCACAGGGGGAGGAGGGTGAGGCAAAGGTCTTCAGTGATTGGTGAATGTGGACTAGGGTTTCATACTGAATATTATTTTTTTAAGGTTTTTAATTTTTGAGATGAAATTCCTTGGAAGAAACTTCTGGGGATATGTTGCATAAGTATTTTATTATTTTTTTAAAATTATTTTTAGGATTTCAGTTTGGATGTAAGATTGGAATTAGGATTAGATTAGAGTTAGGGTTAAGGATTAAGATTAGTAATGTATTTGAAATAGTGAAGGTAATAGCCTAGAGCAGGGGTGTCAAACTCATTTTCACTGGGGGCCACATCATCAACACAGTTCCCCTTGAAGGGCAGTTGTAAATGGGAAACTGTATAGATCAGGGGTTCCCAACCCCTAGTCTGCAGACCAGTACCAGTCCATAGGTTATTTGGTACTGGAACACAGTGAAAATATTTACTTAATTTTTACTAATTTACTTAATTCAAAGAAAATCCAGTCATATCCATTCACTTTCTTTAATTGTTGGCGGGCCGTATTTGGCCCCCGGGCCTTGAGTTTGACACATATGGCCTAGAGAATGCATTATGTCTGTGTGAAGTGGTCAAAAAACTTGCAGTGTCTATGTGTGTTTGTGTGCAGGATGGTGCTCAGCAGAGCGGCAGTTTCCAGGTTACTTTCCAGTGGCTGTAGCTGCTACAGTGATGATGCTCCTGATGACATGGTTCTGGGCAGGTGCCTCACTTCCCTTGGTGTATCCATCACACACAGTCCACTGTTCCACCAGGTACAGAAAAACACACACACACAGGTTGAGAGAGCAGTGATCAGTGGGTTGTGCAACTGCAAACAGCTGACTAAACTGAATTAAATGATGACACTGACCTTGATACAGAGTCAGATGAAGCACCGCAAGAAGTTGGCCTGAAGTTGATATTATAAATGGGGGAGGTAGGAGATAAAAAACAATGTGAGCTCATTTCAGTTACAGAGGTCGTAACTTTAACTGTGCTT